CACTCCAGATTTAAACACACACACATAAATAACACATAAAACAAATTAGTAAAAACCACATGAAACCTTTCATATGGCAAGAGCAGCAGCTGAGACAACATACCCACCTGACAAATGAAAGGCCTTTTTCTGTCTCTCTCTCTCTCTTTCAATAGAAAAGATTATTCCTGAGAGTGGAAGAAATCTCAGAGAAGGTTAAACAGACCTCTGTAGGCTTTTGGAAGACCTTTCAAGGGGTCTTTGTGCCATTGCCGTGAAACCAAACACCCATCACCTCTCAGTCAACTTGGCTTTTTGCACCATCTGTACTGGAAATTCTGAGGAATTTAGAAACATCTGTCTTAGACATGTAATCTCTGGAGTGCCAATCTTGTGGCTCAGGCAAATAGTTGGTTGTGCTACCATAGTTGGGAATGACGGGTGTTATTATAGACTTATATGGATAGAATAGAATAGAATTCTTTATTGGCCAAGCATGATGGGACACACAAGGAATTTGTCTTGGTGCAAATGCTCTCAGTGTACATAAAAGAAAAGATACAATTTGTCAAGTATCATAAGGTACAACACTTAATGAGAGCCATAGGGTACAATAAGCAATCAAATCATACTAGGAAACAGTCAATATAGATCGTAAGGATACAAGCGACAAAGTTACAGTTATACAGTCACAAGTGGGAGGGGATAGTTGATAAGGAGTGATGAGAAGATTAATAGTAATAGTGGTGCAGACTTTGTAAATAGTTGGACAGTGTCAAGGGAATTATTTGTTTAGCAGAGTGATGGCTTTCAGGGAAAAACTCCTTGTGTCTAGTTGTTCTGGTGTGCAGTGCTCTATAGCGTCGTTTTGAGGGAAGGAGTTGAAACAGTTTATGTCCAGGATCTGTAAATATTTCCACAGCCCTCTTTTTGACTCGTGCAGTATGCAGGTCCTCTATTGAAGGCAGATTGGTAGTAATTGTTTTTTTCTGCAGTCCTAATTATCCTCTGAAGTCTGTGTCTGTCCTGTTGGGCTGCAGAACCAAACCAGACAGTAATAGAGGTGCAGATGACAGACTCAATAATTCCTCTGTAGAACTGTATCAGCAGTTCCTTGGGCAGTTTGAGTTTTCTGAGTTAGACTTATATGTTATTATACGTTACAGGAGGTGTCAACAAGTCGGGATGCACCTATACTCTCTAAGTGACTTTTCAAATACCTATATCATAATATAATACTTTCCATCAGAGTACATTATTGCATTACTCGTTTAAATATACCAAATATTCTCATTTAAATGTACCAAAAAGGCAGTGCTAAAGATTGGGGAGGGGGGCAGCTCCAAAAATAAAATAAGTCAGTGGTGGAGTTTGCTCTGCCAGAGTTGTGGGTGGGTGGGTGTTATTTCCTTGATAAATATTATTTTCCGCTTGATTGTTTGTCTGGTATTAACTTAGCAGAGCAAATGCAATCTGCAGAAAAAGCTATTGTGTATAAATGGAGCACTGATGTTGTTACTACTCAGGTAATGACGTTTCTGCAATCAAACAATTAAGCTCACAGAGCACCAAAGACCAAAGCTGAACCCCGAGCTACATATATTCTCTTCTATTGGAAGATGTCAATTGTTATTTTGTTGATTGTACAAAAGCTTTTGGCTGTGTAGGCCACAAAAAACAATGGATAACCCTTAAACAAGGGGCACATTCTTGGCCACCTTATTTGCATACTGAAGAATTTGAGGAATAACTAGGAAGCAAACAATGAAACTCTGAATAGTTCAGAAGAAAGTATGTGTCAAGGTTGTATGTTGACAACTTACTTATTTAACTTATATATAGAATGTATTAGGAGAAATGCTGGACTCGAATAAAGGAAAGCTGGCATTGCATTGCCAGAAAAATATCAATAATATCACATATGTTGACGATATCACTTTAATGGCTGGATGCAAGCAAGACTTGTGGAATCTGTTGTTTGAGAGGAAAGGAGACGGTGCAAAAACAGCCTGCTCAATATAAAAAACCTAGGATTATGTCAATAAGCAATACATCCCAATGCAAATAGGTAGGAAAGAAAATGAAGTTGTTACAGATTGTTTCTTCCTACTCAAGACAGAATGATCTTGACACATCAATACAAAATATTGAATTGCAGATACACCAAACTGCCAAACATGGTGTATATTGTCAAGGCCATGGTTTTTCCAGTTGCACCATATGGCTATGACAGGTGGGCTATCAGAAAGAAGAATGTATGCTTCTGAATTGAAATTGGGGAGAATATCTTGGGCTATAAAAGGAACAAATAATTCAACAGGGGTGTCTCTTTGTGTGCGCGCCTTTGAGTCCATTTTTGACTCCTGGCAACTAATCCCTCTGGTTTTCCTGGCAAGATTTTCAGAAGTGGTTCGCCATTGTCTCTTTCCTAAGGCTAAGAGAGAGGGACTGGCCCAGGGTCACCCAGATAGAATTTACAAGGTGCCTGGTACCTTAACTAGTACAGCAAACTGGTTCTTACAGTCTGCTCTGAAAGCACTAGTAATAGTGGAAGCTAAAGTTTCAACATTCTAGACATATAATACAAAGGCTACAGAAGACTCGGTAGCTTGTAACACTCAAAGGCAACTGAAACAAGATAATTAAATATTACCACTGCGTTGATGATAATTGAGGAAGCATTTACTGAAAGATAATCTCAGGGATCTATGATGGGTAGCAAAGAATGAGAAGCGATGGAGTGATTTAAAAATAACAACAAACATTAACTTCATTAATGGGCCTTAACAGTTCAGGAAACAATTGTAACATTTCTTTTTCTTTGCTAGCTTTTTTTCCTCCCGGCTTCTAAATTTTTGCTCTACAAAAATGTACATTATTAATTTTATTTTAATAATATTATTATTATTTTGGTGGGATAGCTTTCTCAAGGTATGGTATCAGTTTACAACCATTCGTTTAGTGACTGTTGAAGTTACAAATGACTGAAAAAAGTGAATTATTACCATTTATTATATGACTGTTGCAACATCCCCATGGTCACATGATCAAAATTCGGATGCTTGGCAACCGACATGCATTTATGATGGTTGCAGTGTCCCAGGGCGATCCCTTTTGCGGCCATCGGACAAGCAAAATCAATGAGGAAGCCAAATTCACTTAACAACCATGTTAACTTGGTAACTGTTTGATTCCCACTGGGAAGAAAGATTGTAACATTGTATAATGGAGCAAAACTCACATAACAATTGTGTTGCTTAGCTACGTAAATTTTGGGCCTCAATTATGGTCATGAGTCAAGGACTACCTGAATTTATTTATTCCCCCACTGGTCATTCCATAACATACAAAGATGCCATCTTACAGCTCTTTTTTGTTTTGAATCAGTGACTATTATTCATAATCTCTATTTAATTGTCAAATGGATGTGTGTACTAAGTATAGGGACCTACTGCAATTATACAACCCCTTCCCCCCCCCTTCCTAAAGTTATACTAAAGTTTATATTTTACTTTCACAACACTCCATTCTCACTAACGCTCAGGCCTAAGTTTACAAGTGAGGACTGCTTGGAATGTATTTTTCATTGGCGGAGCCGATGTTAGTGACATCAGCCAAAGCACTTTTGATTGGTTATCTGGTTGCTGGGACTATAAAGGGCTTTCGGTGAGGCCGTTAACCCGGTTTCTGCCGGGAAACCAAACTTGGGGTCCTGGCTAGTGGAACGCGGGGCGATTAGTCCCGGGGGGAAAAGATGCCAGCGGGAGTCGGGGATGATGGTTCCCCGGAAGGCGGGCGGCCGAGGCCCCGCCTGACGAGCCCTTTGGAGGCGGCGAGCGCCTCCCCCCGTGAGAAACTCTCCCGCCTTTCCCTCTGTTGCCCTTTTAAGTGGGGGTTTACAAGGAGTCGAGAGTAGCACGAGGCATCGGGAGGAGACCTTCGGATTGGCCGCGGTCCCCGTCTGTAGACACACCCCTCATGCAAAAAGAGACCTTCTGAGTGGAAGGAGGAGAAGGTAAACAGAGTTGAATCACTCTCCCGGCTGACCAATTGGGGGTGGAGGGGCGGAGGGAGGGGGGGCGCTCGCTGGAAGAACCTTTTGCGTGATGGGCTTCTGCGAAATCGGTCCTGAGCAGGGCTGTGCTGGAACACTGAGGAGCCGTAGGCGAGGGGGGAGTGAGTCAGGCAGTGGGCAGATCCAGCCTCAGTCGCTGCTGCTGCTGCTGCTGCTGCTGCTGCGTAGAGTCCTCACGCTTGGGCTGCTGTTTCAGCACCGCGCCTTCTGAGGAGTGTGTGAATGCGCTGGAAAGCCTCGCGAAGCGGGGGCGGAGAAGCAAACGCAGCGGCGGCGGCTCGGGTGCGAGGATCGCTGAGCTCTTCCCGAGCTCCTTTCGATTTTCTCCTGCTTTCCGTCCCCTCGCGGGGTGGGGAAGAGGAGGAGGAGGAAGAAGAGGAGGCGGAGAAGAAGAAGAAGAAAAAGAAGAAGGAGGAGGAGAAGAAGAAGAAGAGGGAAAACTCCCTGCTGGTGCTATTTGGATTACTTGAAACCACCCCTCGTGACCCTGTTTTCCGAAGAAGGGAGCCTTATCACTGTCTAGCCTCAGAAGCGAGTCCGGGAGTGCACGACCCACGCGCGACGCCTCCCCGATCTGGAGTTGTCCGGCGTCCGTGGAGAGGGGGCGCGGGAAGCGACGGCGACCGAGGTCAAAAGGTAGGCTAGCGGTGGTTCTCCTGGCTGGGAATCCCGGATGGTCGTGGTTATGTAAACGCCGAGCCCCGGCAGTGGCTTCCCTCCTGGCTGCAGCGGCACCCCACCCACCCCACCTCCACCCGCGATCCGCAACCTGAAGGGAGGCGACCTAGCCGCCCGGCGCTCGTCACACCGCCACCCCACCTACCCTCCCCGCCCTCCCCGGCCCTCGGAGGGCGAGAGGGCGGCGGCGGCGGCGGCAGCAGTCACAGGCAGGCAGCGCGGAAGAAGTTTTGCCCCGGGGCCCTTCGCCCTGCCCCTCCCCCTCGGAAATCGTTACGTCGGGGGGAGCCCCGACGGTCGCCTGCAAGATGTCAGCGGTGGCTTACATGGACTTCGTGGCTGCCCAGTGCTTGGTCTCCATTTCCAACCGCTCCGTGGCACCGCCGGACGTGACCCGCGAAGCCGAGGTCCTGAAGATGCCCGAGGAGGAAGCCGCCGCCGCCGTCGTGACCAAGGAAATGAACGATCCCCGGGACGCCTGGAAGGATTATTGCACGCTGGTGACCATCGCCAAGAGCTTGCTGGACTTGAACAAATACCGAGCCCTCCCCGCCCCTTCCATCTGCAGCGACAGCGTGGAGAGCCCCGACGAGGACATCGGCTCCGACAGCGACGTGACCACCGAATCGGGATCGAGCCCTTCCCACAGCCCGGCCGAGGGCCAGGAGGCTGCCCGCGGGCCCGGCGCCCTGGCCCTCCTGCACGGCGGAGGGCCGGCCAAAGGCAAGCTGGCCGCGGAAAAGAGACACAAGTGCCCCTACATCGGCTGTGGCAAAGTGTACGGCAAGTCCTCCCACCTCAAAGCCCACTACCGGGTCCATACAGGTGAGCGGCGGCATTCAGGTGAACGGCGGGGGGGAAGGGGAGGGGGCGAGGGGGGTGAGGTGAATGGGGGAGGGCGAGCGGGCGGGGACGGCCCGGGAGTCGCACCTGTTTGCCAAAGGCAAAGGGGGTTTAGGAGGAGGAAGGGGAGCCGAGCTAGAGCTCAAGCTCTTCTGCGGCGGCGGCCGCTCGCTTTCCCTCCCCCTCCTTTCAAGTATGTCGGTTGTCCTCAGCTGAACCCTCCTTCAAATGCCGCGGTTGCCTTAGCGCCGCGCTTCCTGCCTTGCCCGTCCCTGCCTTGCCTTCTCTCCTCCCGAGCTCGCTCTGGTGCAGGCTGCCTGCATTTGGGCACAGGGTGTTAACTGCAAATGACACGTCAAAATGCTGAGGATGGATGGATGGATGGATGGATGGATGGAGGAGATGAGGGTGTTGGGAGTGGGTGACAACCCCCCCCCCCCCCCCATCTTTCATATGTTCTCCCCCCACTTCTGTAGATCGCTTGCCTTGCTTACACCAAGCCAGTAGAGGAGCTGTTGTTCTCTTCAAAAGCCTTCCCCTCGATCTCTAAAAAGGATGTTGGAGGAGGGGGTCAGGGGGCTCAATGGGTGAAGTTGATAGGATTTCCTCCTCTTTCGTGATTGCTCGGTGGCCCTCCCTTTAGGGCTTCCTCTCATCAGTCAAAAGCTTCTCAACGCTGGGTTAGGATTCTCATGAGATTTTATTTTATTTATTTATTTATTTGACTTCATGTTTTTCTTTGGCTGCTGCCTTGGCATGGATCTTTTCCATCCTAAGCCCGGCTGGGGGGGAGGGGGCTTCTTTGGCACCTCTGGATTCCATGAACTCCACCTGGGCGTGGCTGGGTTTGGTGGCTGTCGTGGATTGATGACGTATTTTTCCAATTCTCACGTGGGCGCTTGTTGGCTTTCATTGCCTTGGGAGGTAAGCGCAAGAGGGCGGGAAAGAATAATGGCGGCAAAAGCAGAAGGCCCTGAGGTCCATGTTTTGGGACAGTTTTGTTTAACTATGTCCAGATGCACGCAGTACATGTGACACTGCTTTTTTTGAAAAGAAAAATTCCTTATTTTCATTCAGTTTTCAGGAGCATGGCAGCTGTCTTCATTTGAGACACTATTGCCTCATGTGTTGCCTTAATTGCCTTCTTTTGTGGGCTTGGAACTTGTTGAGTGCATCATCAGTAAGTTGCTTCTTCTGAGGGCATGTTTGCTTATTCTTGGTTCAAACCCCAGCATATTATAATGGGTTATAATTCTCTGTTTCTTAGTACATCTGGTACTGTCTTGCAGGCACTGGAAAGTGCATTCCGAGCACTTGGTGAATATGTTTAAAGATAAATGCTGATTAGGATATTTAAAGGGAGCCTCCTTGAAAGACGAAATGATTGAGGGAAATGAATGCCATCTTTTCCACCAAAGCACATTGTATCCAGTTGTCCTATGTGGGTGTGTTGGCAGCATCTGTGATCAAACATGAGGTGGTTAGTAAGCTTTGAAGATGACACATGGGGCTACATGTATTTATGGTGCCTCATTGGCAAAACACACATCACAACTTTAGCCTGCCTTTTTGTTGGTCATGTGCTTATAGAGTGATACTCCATTTCCAGCATATGGAGCCTGGTCTTGGGGTAGTCAGATTGTATGCTATTTGGGGTTTCCTTTGGCAGGGAAGAAAAATAACCTAGGCAATAGTTGTGTGGTCTGATAAAGGGTCTGTTGAAAGCACCAGCAATGTGTTGAGAGATTTCAATGCCATCTTAGGAAATAAGCAAGCTTTCACTCGGTTTGTAAATATATTTTTTTCTATTTGTGTTATGTTCCTGTTATTTGAAAACCAGAACGAGCAGCAAGACTCAATGTTGCAAGTTGTTCCTCGATCCAAATGATCTGTGAAACGTTTTGTGTGTGTGTGAGACCTAGAGTAGGTCATGTGAGTTAGGAGCTGAAGAAAAACATTGATCAGATAGTATAAGAATGGGTTTGAATTCTTTCTTATGACGAATATGTGATGCATATAAGGCTTAAAAGTGCCTTGCATGGAGATAGGATAGTTGCTGGGGAAGCAAAACAGAAGCCCGTAATCCTTAGCATTTTTTCTTATAGATTATATTTTTTTAAAAATGGACTTGAAAAGGAGTAAACCTTCATTATAGGAAGCCGGTCATGGTACTATTGATATCCACATTAGCTGTATTTAATTTTTACTTAAGGGAGAGGGACTAACTGGATTTGGCTGAATGTCTATGGTAGAGTATTCCTGGATGATGTGTGGGAGAGAATCTCAACCCTATTTTCCTGTTCACACAATGGGCATCGTAAACTGCAGAATGGAAAATGCACAGGAAAAGGAGTGTCGTGTGTCATTCAGCAGTGATTCCTGTGGCTAAAACCCATAATACAGGAAGGAAAGAGAATGTGTGCATCGGCTTTTTTCTGTAGCATGGCAGAAATACCCAATGATTTGTAAAGTCAAGTCAATTGCTGAGAATGCCCCAGCAGTATCCTACACATAGGAAATGCCAGTGATTTTCTAATCATTCTAATGAAGCAAGTTCTTACGTTTTGTTTCTTCCTAGCAATAAGATTAAAGTAGGACTTCGAAAGAGGAAGCCACATGGCTCAATTCTCAGCTAACCCAAAGGTCTACACAATATAAATGCATTAAAATTCCCCTTTTCTTGTCACTGCTTTATAGTTTTCTGATATCAACATCTATACAATATTCTGAGCATTGTGACTGACAGTGACCATTCTACAAATTAGTAGTATCTTCATTATGTATTGACCTTCCATATTTTCCTGTGCTTGTGAGTTCAAGGCTTTTCCACCAAGGAGCTAGGTTCAGAGAACAGCAAACCATTTACTATCAACTGAAGGGAGGAGAAATTTGGGATGGAAATTAAGAAATAATCCCTGTTTTGCTTTGAGGGTGTATTGCGTCACTGAGTTATTTGCAAGAAATAGGTTTATAATTTGACTAAGAACTTTAGTGTTTCGTCTCTGAAACACTAATTCCCTTGGCCTATCAAAATTCCTATCATCATTTGTAGGAATCAGAATTAATGTTAATTAATGCAGGGAAAATATAATTCAATGATATACAAAGATAATCCTCCTTTAGCAACTACAATTGGAACTGGCAACTTGGTCATTAAGTGAAACTGCACATGTGTTCAAGTTCTTACTTTAGTTTTCCTAGACCTATGAAGGTCGTAAATGTGAGGACCAGTCATAAAGTTACTTTTTCATCAACACTGTAATTGGTCACTAGATGAGGCAGTCATTAAATGAGGACTGTCTGTAAATAGATCACGATGATGGATCTCAACTAGTTGCTAACTTAAAATTCCAGCATTCCTTATCATTGGCTCTGCTGATTAGGACTATTATAACCAACTCTGAAGTGCCAAGGATTTCCCACCACTCTCTTTAGACAAAGATATAGGCGATTATGCAAATAACACTGGATACAAGCAGACTAAGAACCCATTTCTCTTCTGCATACTCCACATCTCCCTGGAGGCATTTGGGTGGGCTGTTTTCTTATCTTATCTTATGCTTTGTACCTTTTTAGTGTTTTCTTCATTGGTATTATTAAAGCCATATTTTCCCTGGTAAGGCTGTATGCATAAGATGCATGTTGCGCACTTTGAGCCTTGACATAGGAAAGGCTCAAAGGCTCATAAATCTGGCATGCTTCAGAGAGAGAAGGTGCCAGATCAGGGAGGGTGTGTGTGGCTAAACTATGCAATGCAGGGATTATCGTAATGGTTTTGGCACTTTCCATAGGGACTCCAGAAGCATGGAGGCACCGAAATCACATTGCACCAACAATGCATGTGAGTTGTGCTGAATGTTTTCACGTAGGCTGTGGAAAATTTGGGTTAGATGGGATGTTGAAACTAGGAACAGACAGATGCTTTGCTTTCTAAGCCTGATCACGAAGAATTAAACACACTCTCAAGCTCTATTTTTCATGCAGAGTTTTTATAGGCAATGTAAAAGATATTATTTTTAGAGGCACCTGGGACAATTGCAAGAAACAAAGCTTAGTTTATTGTGTGTGTATGGAAATTTCCACATGGAGGTTGGGTGTTAGTAAACTACTTTAATTGCATCCTTCCTAATTCCATGGCATTGTGTTGTCCATCTTATGGTCCCGACATTTTAGTCATGGCGAGATATACAGGATATGAATGGACGGATCACAGTACAGGTAGTCCTCGAGTTACATCCACAACTGAGCCCAAAATTTATGTTGCTAAATGAAACATTCGTTAAGTGAGTTGGTCCCATTTTACGATGTTTCTTGCCGCGCTTGTTAAGTGAATCACTGCAGGTTTTAAATTAGTAGCACCGTTGTTAAGTGAATCTGGTTTCCCCATTGTCAAAAGGTCACCAAAGGTCATCACGTGATCCCAGGACAGGGCAACCGTCATAAATGTGAAACAGTTTTCAAGCATCCAAATGTAAACCACGTGGCCATGGAGATGCTGCAGTGGTCATAAGTGTGAAAAAAACAGTCACAAGTCACTTTTTTCAGTCCCGTTGTAACTTCGAACATTCCCTGAGTGAACTGTTGCAAGTCGAGGACTACCCGTATAATCTGGCAGATGCAATGACTGCATGAGATAACCAGCATGTCAGGAAAAATTTCCTTTGGAAAAGTAAAAGTTTCTATCATTAATGCAGGTATTATTACTCTCTTGCCCTGTTTCACTCTCGTGTTGATAACGTATGTTTATATCCTGATTTCAATGTACCGTTCATGTAAGCGATGATTGTATTGCCTGCTGCATTATGGCTCCATAAAATGGACTAAAATTTATTCACGTTAATGTTTTGAAGAAGCAAATGTATTTTCCCATGAAATAGAGCACTAACGTAGTCCAACCTTAAACAAGGAAAATGCCCACTTTGAAAGAAAGCAGTGAATGACAAGAGCCAGACATACCTCTCAGCTTCATCCTTTGACACCAA